GTGACTATTGTCGGCAGTCTCTTTTACTTCGGCAACCTTTCCGTTTAAAATGTGTGTTAACCAGTTGTTCTATTATCGCCAACTCGAAATCAGCCGTATTTTAATGTGCTTATGTTTCATTTGAAGAAACACCTGACATAACATGTTTTATCAGTCGTGAAAATGTAGGGTTAACTACCCTATTTCCGGCCTATTAAGCACAACCCGCACTAAATATTTCTTAATTTAGCGTAGTTTAGCACCAAACGGAATGTTATTATTACTGATGGCTTCCAAATTTATTTACCTTTCTGTACGTTTCGAAAGATTTGATAAAGAGAAACCAATCGTTGAGATATTGTCAAAAGTCTAACACTGCTTCTTGGGGCAAACTCGGCCTACGGATTCTAAACTCGGCCTAACGCATTGAAACGCCAATGAATTCACTTCGGCTTATCGGATGAAGATAAAAATTGATTCGGTCGGAGCGCTTGTTTTGTTTTTGAGAATAATGGGTGCAAACCTTCACACCACGCGTTCTCATTGACTTTGTTCGGTAGCTTATTAACTAAAGTACCGTACCAAACGCATAATTGACTTCTTAACTCTGAAATCATGGATTTATTTGAAGTTTTTTGCTCGATAGGCCCAAAATGGGCGATTAGGCCGAAGTAGTTCTCTACCCTATTAGGATTAAACCTGAAAGACTAAGGAATCGTTTAAATACATTCAGCGAAGTGTTTTAGTGAGAAAATACAGCGAAATTAACGTTTAAATTGTGGTTGCCGAAAACAGTCGATGGCTGCCGAAGCCATAATTTACCCTAAGTTGTTTACGTTGACGTGTGCTTTTTTACTGGGATTCCATGCTTACACTGTGCATTATTAAATTGGTAAATGTTTGGCGACAGCAAAAAACAAAGAATTATGTTTGTAAACAAATGTGGATGTAATGGTTGCCAGTAATAATTAATTTTCGCTCAACGTTTTTACAACTAGGTCGACATGCATAAAAATAATAAACGCAGTTTACACATTTTATGAGTAGGCCCCTTTTTTCACGAAATGTGTGAAATTTTATACATTAATGTGTTTACGCTGGTTTCCGTGTACTAGTTACTTTTGTAGTTGTAATAACTCATAAATGGGTAAAATTTAACTCGTATAATTGGTAGTCCCAGTTTCCATCGAAAATGCTTACTTTGAAGTCATTATTGGGTATTTTTCGGTTACCGTGTAATGTAAACAAAGATTGCATTTTCAGAAAGAACAGACATACGTCCAGTACTCTGCGAAATATTTCGACAGTGAGCATGCATAAGGGCCTATACGAGATGATCGATTCTCTTCATCGATTTTCTCTTTGCATTGCTACAGCTAAGCGAAACAATTTTGTAGAATTTATTCAATGTAGAGTTGTAACAGGTTGCATTGGCTATTAAAAGCAACAGCAAACGCACCGACAAACGTTAAATCTAGCGAGTTATTAACAAAAGAGAAAATCGATGAAGAGAATCGATCATCGCGTATACGCCCTTATGAATGCTCACTGTCGATTTCACTCGTTGCTGAGATTTTCCAGGGGCGGGATGTGTTGTCAAATCAGCCTGCTGAACATCCATCAATGAGATGTAAATATGTAAGACTCAGTGAATTTGTCATCTCTTTCGTTTTCCCGCCGTTTATTCGGTTAAAGGAGTGTGTCGTCAAACTTCCTCATCCCTTTAATCAGCGGGAGAACAAAAGAGACGACAAGTTTACTGGGCCTCACCTGTTTACGCTCATTGATTTTCCATATATTTTTTGTTTTCCTTTGGTTTGTTTTTTCCGTCGATCTTGTTTTCCGTGCTGAGCACTAATGCTACCGACGTGCCAGGAAGGCAGCTCCCACACCTGGACCCTACCTATCGACCCATCAACTCATGAACCGGGGACCAACGGCTTTACTTCCCATCCGAAGGAAGGCGTGATCAGAGATGTTATGCCTCAGAACATCCCGGCGGCGCCAACTGGGATTGAACCCAGGCCTGCTGGGGTGAGAGGTAATCACGCTTACCAATACACCACCGGCGCCGTCAATTTTCCATATGTGAATTTGGTTCCAAACATTAACAAACCGTCGTTGCTTATGGCTTTGTTTGGAAACAGTTTTGCCAGGTAGGCGACGATTGTTCGTATTTGATAGTCATCTACCCCCCCCCCCCCTCTATACTCAAAAAATTCCACACGTCATCATCATGTGTCTCACACTTAATTTTGCGCTTATTGTGAAACACATCCATTTCATGTGTGAATCTTCTGCTATGAATCATGCCTGAACACCATGGATGTGAATTGTGACTCATTTGGTGATATCAATACCTTTCCACATCATAGTTCAATATTCTACAACTTCTACTGGACCGACTCTAAAAATGAATCGACAAATATATAAACAAAACTGCCATAGGCAAGAGCTTTCACATATCTTTTTAATGGGTCTGATTTGGGATTCGATCATGGACTGTTGTGGTGTGCTGCTGCCGGAGTCTTTGTTCGATCTCACTGTGCCACGGTTGTTCTCATACACGCAGGCAAAAGAAGTTAAGAATTCCATAAGAAACACTTATGAATTTTATCCACAAGAAATCAGTATGAATTTCATTGATTTGCCATATGAAAAATAATGTCGACAAAAATAATAAATCGGAGCAAACTGGAACCGAACCATGGACGTTGAGATACGGAGCTCGTGTGTTCACCACTCGTCTTTCAAGGCTTATGAAAATGGAATGGCTAAAGGCGTATAATAGCTACGTTATGTTAGACGAAAATCTTTCATAAGTCACGCTTATGAAATTCATATTTGTCGTTCATAAGTCGAGTCTTATGAAATTCTTAAGTCTATTTGCCTCAGTGTATATGAGGCGGGTTGATAGGATAAAGTCACAAGTCTTGTTTTCGATGTTTACCTTTCTGAGCAAGCAATTCACATCGCATTGAAATGCAAAACACTTTAATCTGTTTTGAACAGTGTTGTGATTCAATGTGCAATACACTTGAATAGATAGTGAAAGATTTTTAACATTTCAAATTTTGAAACACTATAAATTAACGTGTATAACACATTGAACCAAGGTGAAATACACTTAGAGTAAATGTGATTGTGCTTTTAAAAAATCAAGTGTTTAAACACTTCGATCAAACGTGTGGAATTTTTTGAGTGCAGGATATTTCAGGAGATGTATTTGTTTAGGGGTGTCCAGATTTTGTCGCGAACAAATCTTACATGAGGGCTAACTGGAACCCCTGGTATATTTCGGGAAATCAATTGGGTTCTTTAAGGGTATTGAGGTAAATGCATATTCGTAATCATCAATTTTGGTACACTGGAACTATTTTAAATATCTAGATAGAGCTGGAATCAGGGCGTAACAGCTTTTGTAAACAATGACTTCTCTCGATGATTTCTAGAAAGCCAAGGCTCGCCCACTCAAATCAACATCACCATCGGGTAGGGGAAGACTTCCCCTTCCCGTTGGTTATGTTGGTCGGCGTGGGCGTGCCTTGAGTTTTGAGAAATCATCGAGAGAAGTCATTGTTTACAAAAGCTGTTTCGCCCTAATTCCAGCTCTATCAAGATATGTACTATTACATTTGCAAAAATCACCTTATTAGCGCCCCTCGGTGTCACTTTGTATGGGAGCGAGCTGTCAGTTTGTCAGTTTAGTGTCAAACAGTGAAGTTATTATTTTGCTTTAAATCTTGATTTAAAAATCGAGATGAAAGTGTGTGGCTTCGAAAAAAATATCGCTGTGCTCAGAAAACGAAGTTCTTTCAGATGATATATAAAAACCGATATATTTTTCAAAATTAAAGAACTCAAATCTAACTGCATTGTCTTGGATGTTTTTTTTTCACAATGGCCCTTTACACTAAAGCAAAAGTGGGCTGAATATATTCATGAAAAATACATCCGAGGTCGGTGGGATTTTTCTCTGGTCACGTCTTACTTCGGAAAAGAAGTAAAGCCGTTGGTCCCTGGCCCATGTGTGTTGAATGGGAGCGATATCCTTCGCAGATTTTGAAGCTGCCTCCCTACTCATGGATGTCAATTTATATCAGTCGGTGATTTGCACTAGGTTGCGGAATTAATTAATAACGATATGAACCTGATTTAAATCTAAAAAGTGAACAGTGAACAGGACATTCTGGCACATTCTCTCACTTTGAACCTGTCATTTCTAGCCTATCTGAACTATTCTATAGATGGAAACCATAACATGGGTTCCGCTTCCCCAAACCGGACCCTCCGCAGCCGATATCTGTCTTACCTTAAATACCAAATGGCAATGGTTGGAATGTATCAATATATAATGTATATGTACATTTCCAAAACATACTTGCACACAGAAATTTAATTCAAGTAATTAGAATTTTGCAATTATTACAATATGCGCATATTGGTCATATATGTTTTTGTTCGACAAATGACGTTCAACCCACTCACTTGGCCAGGCTTCATAATCATCCAGTGGGCAGTACGCTCTACACTCCAAGTTCCCTTTCATCCAAATTAACCCCATATTTGATAATTTACCCATTGAGAGTAGATTAATCACAATGAAATATTGTGACTTGAGGTTACTAGAGTATTCAATAATATAGGCCTTATTTAGGATTATGTCTGAAAAATCCAAATTTGGCCACCGCCCACCAACCTGATTAATTGACAATATACATGAAACAAAATCATACTTTTGTTTTCGAAAAATCTATAATGACTTCCTGAAAGCGGACCAAAATACGTCCGTTACCCTAGTAGTAGTCATCCAGTCGGCGAGATCGAGAATGGATAAACGAGCCGAGAGTGGAAAGCCACAGCCTCGCACGCGGTCATATTATAGCCCAGTTAGTAGTCCGGGTGGGGAGGTACAATTAGTAGCTGCGTCACAGAGCGTGAAAACGGGCACCACCCGGGTGAAAACGATCCGGTCACATATTTATATACCTGTGTCTATAAAAAAAACTAGCCACTAATGGGGGACCTTTTTCAGGTGGTTTTAAAGCGATGGATGTTTAGAATCCAGTGAGAATCTTTCCCGCGCATCGGTACGGTTCGGTTTAGCTGCTGCTGCCTCGGTCAAGCACAACGTCGAGATTTTTTTGTTTGTTCAAGTTCAACGTTGATTGGTGGACTACAGTGTTTATTTCGGAAACTATCACGGAAGTCGTGTATGCCAATTGTGATTGCAGATTGCGAATATACGGTAGTGAAACTAAGTGGAATAATGGCACAAACAAGTAGAGTGCTGGAAAATGCTGTTTTTCGGCATAAAGTGTCAGTTTTCCTGCTAATGGCAATCGTCGGAGTGGCAATGGCTTGTGTAAGTAGAGCGGTACGGATAGCACTTGGAAAGTGTGGTACTAATGGAGACGCACGGTAGCTGACCGGTAGGGGCAAAGGATTGTTGTTATTTATGAACTGACAATTAAACAGCAGGGTGGCCACTAGATTTTCATTTTGGAATTTCTGACTTTTCCCCGCTTTTCCTAGCTCAAACCTAAAAAATGTCCTGGTCAGGGGTTGAAACAGTTGACGTTTTTTACTACACTCGCTTCGTTGTCGTGCGCGACAGTCTGTTTGTATTCGAACACTCATGCTCTACCGTCGTCTCTCTCACACAACACGAGCGGTAGAATAACATTCGAGCTAAAAGAAAATTATCAAAATAGCTATCATATGACATGTGTGATTTCGTTGTAATTCCTCAATTTGGTGTAAATCAAACCATTTCTGATCAGAAATAGTATTACTAGGACATCATTGCTTGCTATTTTCAGAATTCACACAAACACACCATCAGCAGCTCTTATTTTGAGAAAAACTAAAATACATACATTCGTGACGGTCTTCGGCGACAGTGTCGTATGACAGAGCCTGTCATACGACATTTTAGTTTGGTACTGTACTATGATAGCTTGTTTTGCAAGTGTCGGAGGCAAAGGCAGTCAATTATCACAGAAAATGTGTCGACTACCGTGACCGCTTACAAGCCTGGTCCTGGTTATTAATAGTCAACAACTTTTATTCGAATATGTATGAACACCCGGAAAATATTGATTTTATGTGTGCAGAGATGTTCTGCTTCTGAAAGTTTCAAATGCTCATGAAAAAATTGCAGCAGTTTAGAAAGACAAAGATTTTTTGAATATTTACCCAAGTAGCCATAGGCACGTTATTTCGTTGCCTTTTGGATAAACACTAGTGGAAATTAATATGAGAACACTTTAAAACCATGGCTCCTCCCAAATCTAAGAATCAGAGGAATTCTTTATCATATGTGTTTGGAAGCCACATTATCAAGATACAATATGAGCCGAAGAAAGAACCAATTGCATCATGTACGTAGGAGAAATAAATGGAAAAGTGATTTTCTTCTTCGGAAATAAATATAAGGACGCCATACAAAAATGCATGGGACATTGGTCATTTTCGAAACATTATTTAGCATGTCAAAAATTATTGTGGCATCAAAATAATCAAAGAGTTAGTTCAGCGATGATCACATAGCAGATATATACATTTAGGATATGATCATCGTTGATCAACCAATGATTTTTGTGATGTTCGAGAACTTCTAGCGATTGGATCTGCTTTATAACTTTTCTGAAATTAAGTTTATTGATTATTTGAACTAACTCTTTGATTATTTTGGTGCCACAATAATTGTTGACATGCTAAATAATGTTTCGGAAATGACCAATTTCCCATACATTTTTATATGGTGTCCTTATATTTATTTCCGAATGAGAAAATCACATTTCTATTTGTTTCTTCTACGTACATGAAGCAATTGATTCTTTCTTAGGCTCATCTTGTATCTTGATGATGTGGCTTTCAAACACACATGATATAGAATTTCTCTGATTCTTAGATTTGGGAGGAGCCATGGTTTTTAAAGTGTCTCTATATTAATTTCCACTACAGTATACAGCTTAACAACAGCTATATCAGTGTTTGTAAGTTCTGATGAGGCCCGTATATAGTCAAAAAGGGCGAAATAACGTGCTTATGGTTACTTGGGTAGTACATAAGTGAAAGTTCTTCAAATTAAATATGCACTCAATAATTCTCACAAGTTCGCTCAAATACCTTTCTTGAAATTACTCTTTGAAAATACACTCCTTTGGACTACTTCCAGGAATTTCTTAAAGTTCGCTTCGGCATTTAGTTGGAACTCTCCCCAGAATCCTGATGAATGTTTGGCGTCTTAGTGGAATATCTTTATAAAGAAAGAGAGATAAGGATTAGCAATTTCCATTAAATTCCTTTACCTTATTTGCTTATCCTTGACAGATACGCGTATTCCGTCTAGAATGTGCAGACTTCCTCAGTGTCTTGTACTAAGTCGAGTCACTGAAGAAGTCTGCACATTGTAGACGAAATACGCGTATCTGTCAAGGATAAGCAAATAAGGTAAAGGAATTAAATGGAAACTGCTAATCCTTCTCGCTCTCTATACTCTCCCCAGATTTTCTTGAACTGTCCTGAGAATTTGATTCTCATGGAATTCATCTTAGTATTCCCTTGAAAATCATTTCAGAATTCCCTTGGAATTCACCTCCAATTTTCCATAAAATATTTCTCTGAATCACATTAAAGATTTCAAAATGTGATTGGAATTTGCGTAGGAATTCATCTCATAATTTCCTCCCATGTTCTCTAAAAATCCTTCACAGAATTATTTTGAATTTATCACTAGAATTTGAAGAAGAATTTCCCTCGTAATTTCAAATTTATCTGTAAAATTTATTAATCCAGATCCTGAATCCAGGAAATTCCTTCAAGTCCCAATCCAACCATGATCTTTGTTTTCAAATCTGGAAACGTGAAAATCTAAAATCTGAAATTTATAAAAAACCGTAGAATTCCTCAAAATTTTATTCATTCTCTTGAAGTTGTCCTTAAAACTCTTCTCCGTATTCTTTAAGTCATTTTGAGAAATCGATTCACTTGGAATTCTTCTCGGAATTTCCATGAAACTCTCTTGCAAATTCCCTTCTTCAGTACAGTGCTGCGTGCTGTCAACAATGTCAATTGACGTAAGATATTGGTCTATCACTGAATTTCACTTCCGACACTGATATTTGTAGGAAGCATGATATCAGGTGGATCGGCTTTGATATTACTAGCCATATGAATATCACTAAGGAAAAGTTTAAATCTTACTTTTTTTCTCAATAAATCAACTTTTTTTGTGTAACCGTTAAATTGTTTTAATATTACTGACGAACTCGATTAGCTGGCGTATATAAGAACATTTGTGGCAGATCTTTGAATATCAGTGGTCGCTTCACGATGTCAATGTCATTTGCGTGCTGACATTGAGGCGAATGATATTGATATTCTAAAAGTTTGAACTGATACTGACATCAGGTGACTAGTGAAATTCAGCATTTTGTAGGTATTGATATTGATATTTTGCAGCACTGCTTCAGTAATCGTTTAAAATTACGAGTTCGCCCAACAATATATTCTGTAGAACTCTGATGGTGTATGTATTAGAATAACATTAAAACAACAACAAAATCAGCATCCCCGAGACCTTCTCCATTCGATAAAGGGGGACTTTTCCCGTCATTTTGTGACTGCAGTCAATTCTCCATATCTCGATATTGATGGGACCATCGATATATGGAGAGATTGAAGGGACCGGAATATCCTTCGACATATAGAAAAAGTGGTCACATATCGAGATATAGAACATCGTGATATATAGTTGATTATAGTACTTGCATTTATAACTATCAATTTTTTTTTTCAATTTCGTATGATAAAGTGCCCGCCTTGAATAATACACTAGTGGAAATGAATATAAGGGCACTTAAAAAGCATAGCTCCTCCCAATTATATGAACCCGAGGAATTCTAAATCATGTATGTTTAGAAGTCACCTTATCATGCTGCAATAAAAGCCTAAGAATGAATCAATTGTATCATGTGCATACATGAAAATGTGATTTTCTCCTTCACAAATAGAGCCAGGGACGCCATACGAAAATGCACGGGAAATTGTTAATTTTTGAATCATGACTTAGCATGTCAAAAATTATTGTGGTATCAAAACAATCAAGTAAATAGTTCAAATGATTATTAAATTTGATTTTTGAAAAGTTTTACGGAGATTTAATCGGTAAAAATTCTCAAAATTCCCATAAATCATTGCACAGTGGTCCAGAATGCAGATTTAGGTGGAATGATATGTTTTGAGCCTGAAATTGAAGCTTTAGACTAAAAGTTTCTTCTACAAAGTTGTTCCTTTCACCCCAGCAGGCCTGGGTTCAATCCCAGTCGGCGCCGCCGGGATGTTCTGAGGCATAACATCTCTGATCACGCCTTCCTTCGGATGGGAAGTAAAGCCGTTGGTCCCCGGTTCATGAGTTGATGGGTCGATAGGTAGGGTCCAGGTGTGGGAGCTGCCTTCCTGGCACGTCGGTAGCATTGGTGCTCAGCACGGAAAACAAGATCGACGGAAAAAACAAACCAAAGGATAAAAAAAAAAAAAAAAAGTTGTTCCTTATATTTAGGCCCTCATTTTTATGACAATGAATTCTAGGGTGGTTCCTATTATCATTAAAATCAACAATCAAACTTTTTTGTTTGAATAAATTAAGCTATACATTCTTGGGCAAAGTTATAGCTGAGTTAATTTCAAGCAACTTTGTTCAAAACAACTTTTTTGTATCTCTTAAGTTGACCGATTTAGAGCTATTTTCTTGAATTGAGTTAGGGTGGCTATATATGAATAAATTCAAATTGATTTTATACGAGTTTATAAAATAATATACCTCCAATTTTTTTAATATTATTGAGAATAACATACGTCCATTCAAATGCCGTCAAAAAAAATTTTTTTTGTTTGCACATTTTTAGTATAAAAACGTCAATAACTCTTGATCGGCGAAAGATATTAGGTCGTATGAATAAAAGCGTTTACTTTACTTTCCCCGTAAGAAAAGCACGGGAAAGTAAAGTAAACTCTTTTTATTCATACGGCATTTGACAAGCTTTCTGCAGCAAAAATTTGCGCCTATCTAAAAGTCATTTGAAGCCTATGATCTAAAAGTCATTTGAAGACACCTTTGCTGAGATATTTGAAATAAGAAAACTAGAGCAAAATAACTGTCTTTTTAGCGCCACCCTAACTCAATTCAAGAAAATAGCTCTTAATCGGACAATTTAAGAGATACAAAAAAGTTGTTTTCAACAAAGTTGCTTGAAATTAGCTCAGCTATAACTTTGCCTGAGAATATATACCTAAATTTATTCAAACAAAAAAGTTAGATTGTTGATTTTAATGATCATAGGAACCACCCTAGAATTCATTGTCATAAAAATGAGGGCCTAACTATAAGGAACAACTTTGTGGAAGAGACTTTTAGTCTAAAGTTTCAATTTCAGACTCAAAACATATCATTCCACCTAAATCTGCATACTGGACCACTGTGCATTGGTTGATCATCGATGACCACCCAGAAGATACATACATTGATGCCAGAATGTTTTAAAGCTTATCGGTATCAAAGGTTTAAAAAAATCGGTATTTATCGGTATTTACTATTTTAATTAATTTTTTATTTTTGGCGTTTTTGAAAGCGCAAATTTTAACTTTTGGACTATGATAGGAAAATTCCGGAAGAAAACTCCGGGGAATGATTGAATTAGCTTCTGGAGGAAGCTGAAAACAAGAGCCAGAGAAAGAAGCTCTCCTGGAGGAAATTTGAGGAAAGTTCTGAGAGAAGTCTGAAAAACATGCGCGAAACTTTCAAGACATAAATAAACTTCTGGCGAAAATTTCACATTCAAAGGAAGGCAGAAAAGTTTCGGAAGCCGGAATTAAATTCCAGAAGTAGCCATTTCCAGGGAAAGCCAGAAGAAGCTCGGAAAAACCTTTCGAAAGAAGTAAAAAAAAACCAACTGGACAAAATTCCAGAACTAGACGAAAGAAATTTCTGGTTAAAACTTCCTAAGGTAGATTAAAAAAAAAAATCTGGAGAAAGTCGGAAGCCAGAGCACTTACGGAACAGTCGAAAGAAACAAGGACATAATTCCGAAAGAAAGAGCTCCTGGGGGATGTTCCAATGATCCAGAAAACCCCGCAATGCCCCTGAAATTTTTGGATCATTCCTGAAATATACTTAGGAATATTCCATATTTCCTCGGGCTGTTTTGAAGTATTCTGATCATCTTTGAAATACTTAGAACTTCCTTGATTATAATGAGACTACCCGAATATCTCTAATCAACTTTGAAGGTTTCTAGACTTTCTTGAAGATTACGAAATTTTTCAAGCACTCTCACAATTTTCTTGAATTTATTGTAACATCAGCATTGAAGTTCTCTGGTCTTCCCGATTTTTCTTATTTTTAAAAGTTATCGACACTGCCATCAATAAGCACGGAACTTCTCATAAAATGTTCTCACAATGTGCTAATTTTCGTGTAACTTCCCTTACGTTTCTTAAATTTGTATGAGCCCTTCGGAACATTGCTAAAGTTTTCGACAATTGCCTGAGTTTCTTGGAACTCCTTTAAAATTTCAGCGATTTCCTTGAAATTTTATTGATCTGATCTGATTGTCCTGATGTTCTCGGAGCTTCCTAATGTTCTCGCAATTCTCCTGAAACTAATGGAACTGTCCTGAAAACCATTAAATTTTCCAGAAGTTCTTTGGCCTTCTGAAGTATCCAAAATATTTATGATGTCTCGTTAAGTTCACTGGAGTCCGCTGGACCGGGTTTTAGAATTTTAACAGAAGTTACTTTCTGTAATTTATCGAAACTTACTCAAAAGTCTGGACTTTTCGAAGGTTCAGAACTTTTTTAAAAGTCCCTGCAGCTAGTGTGGATCTGATTGCGGATCTAGAAGCATCCCTGAAGTTCCGGGAAGAATCATTCGAGCGAAGGCTGAAGAAGCTTTCAAGAGAAGTCGAAATAAGTTTCCGAGGGGAATCGTAAATAGAAAATTCTAGGGGAAAGTTGGAAGACAATCCAGGAAGTTAAATAATGTTTAAAAAGTATTTCCCGATTCCTCCGGAATTACCAAAAAGAGCCATCGACTGTTTATCGATTCATGGGTAGCCAAAAACGGTGGGAAATTGAAACATTAATCGAAAGAGTATCCATAAGACTTTGATTTTGATTGATGATTTTTTTTAGAATTTTAAAAACTCAAAAAATTTTAGATATTCAAAACGATTCAAGTCTTACACAAAAATATTGATTTTGATTATTTAAAAAATAGGTATAAATCGGTATAACACCTCAAAAATCGGTATTCTGCGGAACCTTATCTGTATATCGGTATCTAGTTCGGAAATCGGTATAAATACCGATAAATCGGTATATCTGGCAACGCTGGTACCCATGTCGGTTAAATTCGAATGTTCTATGAGCTCTACTGGTTGGATCTTTCATATATCTTTGCAAAAATCATGTTCAATGATTTTTTTAACTAACTTATTGATTATTTTGGTGCCCCTTAAGGGTCATTTTTTTATATTTCACTTTTAAAAATTGCTTATACTTTGAAGTTTTTCTATGCAAAATATCTAAGCGATCAGACGAGTAGTTACCGAGATATCGATATTTATGTAACAGCGCTCCGAGCGCCGATTCCGCCTACCGGAAAACTTTAAACGCGTTTTTCTCGAAACGGTATTTTCCAAATTGGCGGGAAAGATAACTCAAAAAGTTCTCATCCAAATGACTTGACTTGGCGCATCTTAAAGGAAATATAATTTTACTCTATGTGAACCACTGATATCATGAATTTACAATTAACAATAAATAATTTTCAGGTCTGCCTAAAGTAAAAAAAAAAACAGTGAAAAATCAACTTTTTTTTCAGATATTTTTTTTCTAAATTTTTAAATCGTTTTTTTTTTTTGGTTTTAGAGGTTTACATAGAACAAAAATCTTTTCTGAATAACAATTGATAAAAGTAAGTTTTGTCCATTTTTCAGGTTTCTAGAACGCCCGCCAATTACCAATCCCCACAAGGAGCCTCTCAAATGTAGAGGAAGATGTAAGCAATTTAATGCAAAAAACCCCAAACGTTTGCGTTGTTTCATTTGCTCACAAAAATATTCCGAAAATCGTCGAGTTTTTGACGTGTTACTTGTATTTCCCCCCCCCCCCTTAATAAATTTCGACATGCTTAATTATGATTGGCATTTGACCATTCTCCCGTACATTGATCATTTTCTAATCGTGATTAAGCATGTCAATATTTAATGTGGCACCAAAATACCCATTTAGCTAGTTTCAATAATCATTGAACTTGGTTTTTGAAACGTTTCGTGGAAATCCAATGGGTAGAATTTATGTAACAATTGAATGTAGTCGACATGGATAGCTCGGAATACGCCTAAATGTATGTATCGTTTAGGTAATCATTGAAGATCAACCAATGGTTTTTGTGGATCTATTTTGTAAAATTCTACCGATTTGTAAAACTTCTCCAAAATTAACTGTAATTACTATTTAAATTAACTTATGCCTCAATATGCAATATACAGATGAACACAGAAAAAATCTGAATTTTAACTATCGCGTAAAATCTCTCTCCGTTTAATTTTGAGCTATACTTGGCATAAACATGCATTTAATAATACGTTTTTCAAACGGTGTACTGTATGCTACTTCGGCCTAATAGCCCATTCCCGGCCTAACGAGCACAGAACATCAAATATAACTTTGAATGCGGCGTGAACGCGCCAAACAAACGTTCGGTACGATGCTTCTATTCAATAGCTGCAAGACCAAGTGTTGAAGAATGCAAAATAATATCCCGAAAAAAAAGGCGCACGCGAATTCACTTTTCCTTCCGTTCGATAGGCCAAAGAGAATCCCAATGGCGTTTGAACGGCTAATAGGCCCAAGAAACCCGTAGGCCAAGTTGAGCCGCCAGAAGCAGTTTTGCATTTTCAACAATTCACGAATATTCCGCGACTCCTTATCAGAACTAACGGTACATATCGAAAGATTACTAAATGTTGAAGCCATCTGTAATAATAACATTCCGTTTGGTGCTAAACTACGCTAAATTAAGAAAGACTAAGTGCTGGTGGTGCTTAATAGGCCGGGAATGGGATAGTGAACTCTACATACCTGAAACTTAAAAACAGAGTTACATTAAATTGGCTTGAAAAAGACAAAATTCCCACGGAGAGTCGCGACCCATAGATTAAGAAACGCTGTGCTAAATCTTACTTCCAAAATGACCAATTTCTCATACATTTTTGTATTGCGTCCTTATCTTTGTTTATGAAGGAGATAAGCATTTTTCCATTTATTTGATGATTTACATATAAATTTTATTTGGCCGGCATATTTTCCGATCATTGTTTCAAGAGTTTTATCTCGCGACATGCTATATGACCCCCCTAACGATCCAAATCCCCATCCATTTTCTCCAATTCTAGAACGGCGGCTACCGAATCAAGGTCCGAAAGGTTCAAAACTGCGCCGGCACCGATGCCGTGATCGTAGCGCAGGAAAACTACACCGCCGTGCTGACGAAAAACTGCGAAATCAAGTCCCGCGGGTGCGTGACGTACAAAACCTTCAAATCCGGCATCGCCCGCTACAAGGTCAAGAAGGACGGCGTCCAGGTGCTGCAAGGACGAATGGATCTGTGTGATCAAATCGCCACCGGGAATCGTGATCCGGTAATTGGGCCGATATTGCGAACACTCAATCTTCCCGACAAGTGCCCCGTCGAAGCTGTAAATATGACATATTTTAAATACCAAATGCAATGGGGTTTTAATTCATTGCATTATTCCAGGGAACTTTATGCACCGATCCTTCCCAGGTAGTGAACATCGAACAGTACAAGCAGTTTCTGCCTCTGGCGCGTGGAACGATCGACGTAGAGTCTGAAATTCAACACGACACGGTAAGCTTCCCTTATTTACCATAAATGTCTAACTAATGCAGATATCCAACAATCTCAATGTTAATTGATTGTGCAACTCACGTTCGATTTCTCTCCCCCCCGTTCCCCAAACAGGGCAAAAGTTGCTTCCGACTGCAGATTGATATCACTAAGTGATCGGACGAGTTATGGCGGGGCGAGGATTACATTACGGATTTAATCTACCTACTATCCGGTATTTGCAGCAAATCATTAGCAACGATGTGTGGTTGAGTTATTAGAAATATAATAAATACAAACTGTTACCTCATTGCAAAGATGGCTGATTCTAGGGAATTCACCCTTTTAATACATTCAAATTTATTGCAGCAGGAAAGTTCCATCTCAGTGGTGATGACAAACGAAATGCGAAAGAAGATTCCATGTTGGGTAAATTCAGTGGGTCTCAACAGCCTGTGGAAAAACGTGCTTCCGTTTACATCACGCAACATTTCCAATTTTCAGGGGAATAACCTGATGCTGATTTAGACATTCATGTTTTAGATAGCTATCAAATTATTAACATGCTTGTTCTACCTATTTTGAAATCGACAGTCATAGAAAATTCTAAGACGTGAATCACCTCAACCTCCGTTACAACTGATGGCAAAAGGTTATGCTGGTATGATAACGGAACAATGGTGGGAAAAATAAGTAAGACATTTTCCCGAAGCTCATCGTCTGGGAAATGAACGCGGTGACCCGTCATCGTGTAACTCGACGAAGATTTACTTATGTCGCTACACATCAGTGTGGGGTTGGTTTACCACAAATGTGTACGGATTATTGATGTGCAAACCCGCATATTAGTATCCGATTATCAGCTGCTGTGGTGGAGTACAATGTTGTTAAACGTCTGCTGTCAACAAGTTCAGCTGCTGTTGTGCAATAGTTACGACGAATGATATAACGATGGATGAACTTTGATGACAGCAAGCTCTAGAACAACCAAACATTAACGGACAAAATATCGCGAGTTGCTTCAACCTACTCGGAGTCGCTTGCATTTGGCTGAATGAACACCAATTCAAGCAACTCGGAGTAGCGCACGGATCGGTTGAAAGAACGCCAAAAACGAGTTCGTAATGTTCCTTCATGTCGACCGAGCTGTCAAAACTTCAAATATATCCTTACTGGCAACCATATCCTCGACCATAACAAAATGCTGAAAATGACAGATTCCGGAGTGATTTGAGATTTGGGCGAAATTGAATTTGTAAACAAACATGTCAATCTCCGATTTATCGTGAATAAAAGCGCAATCTCGAAAACTAATAACACTATCACGTAGAAGAATGATTTCTCTATCATTTGGTATAGTTTGTTTACGAGATTGAGCTGTAATTAGATTCAGCCATTCAGCCATCACATCTTCTCCGTTACGGGGAAAGCAAGGACATTGTTGGTGTACCATATACTTAACGAGAGGCCAGCGACTCACCGACGCCCCCATATATGCTACGGAGTTGGGTCAAGATTCGCTTAAGCAGGCGATGCGACCTTAGGAATTGTTTTATTTTGGAGGAGCTTGGGAGTAAACCCACGATCTTCTACTCAGTAAACCAAAGCTGCAGTCGCCAAGCTAGCCGAGCTCCTCTATTTAAACCCTGAGACATAATTTGGTAAAGTTGTTATGAATACTAATAGAATTATAATGCAAACAAATGAAATAAAAAGGAAGGATCTCACCCGAATGATCTGTAATCAGCTCGCCTCTTCGTGATTCTTGAGATCAATTGTTCTCGCAAATGGAGCTCCATCTCCTTGATCCTGATAATAACAAAATCAGTTTCCCCTTGCTCTGGCCTCGGGTAGAAATGCATCGCAATAAACGCACCGCCATTGCAGCATTGTCGATGAACCTCCAGATGTTGTATCACGATCCCTATTCCGATCAGCTCTAACTGTTTCACTCTCAGATTCAAACTTCCAATACGCAAAAACACATGTTCGCAAGAAACTTCACAATTTTTTAAACACGGGAGCAAAATTCAAACACGTCACTTCTTCAGCGCGACCTACTTCGATCTCCCAGATCAGTCAAAACTGAACCTACCCAAAAATGGGTAAACTATGTTTTGAGTTACACGTTGACAAATAGACAACATCGACATGAATCCGATCGACTTTGTTCATTTGTCAACTTGTCACTCCCAACATAGTTTACCCATTTTTGGGTAGGTTCAGTTTTGACCAATTTCGGTGGATTCCACTCAAATTTGGGTAGTTTTGAAATAGCGTGAAATTTCGTCCAGGAAGAATATATAAAACAAAAAACATTATGAAATGATAACTAAGTATTATTGATACCCAAGTCGGTTCCAAGTACATCCATTAACGTACCAGAGCTGAGCCAAAAAGTTGAGCACGTTTCTTCCGTACCTTCTGGTCTTAGAGTTACTTTTATGCTAAAACGTAGCTGCTTCATTTTCACTGATTCACTTCTAAAAAGTAATTTTAGAATCTGAGTAGATTCCACTCATTGGAGCAGAACCAGTTTACTCATTTTTTGACAACTCCATACAGCATGCAAAAATGAGTGCAACCTATCCAGTCACTGATTAGCCTCAAAATAGCGTGTATTGCAACAATAGGACCACAGACAAACAGACGTAATTCTCTTTGAATAAGATTATCTTGAAAACATTGTTCCTCAAAACGCGGAAAACAAGCTAGCTCAATCAAACAATCACTTCAATCGACGATTTGTGGCAACTGCTAGCTCACTCACAGAAACGAACAACACCAGCTAGTAGGGGAAAGATTCCCCTACCTGATGATGGTGTTTGTTTGCGTGGGTGAGTTAGCTGTTAAGACCAGGGGCCTTACTGGCGGCCATGTTTTTGATGCTATCATCTGCTCTTGTCTTTCTGGGGATGTAATGTCGGCCTAACTGCCCCTAATAAAGGCCCATACATAAATTCAGCAATCGACTGCATGTTCAATAGTGACCAAAAAAATCCATTAGTACCGACCCAATGACGCGTTCATCTTGATAAAATTGATAAATAGCAGATTTTCAACGATGGGCCCAATCTTAGATCCAAAGGCCAACATTAGAGCCATGTCCCCTAATTACAGGAATTTATGAAATTAATTTTATGTTCGATGACAAAAACATTGAGTTCATTTCAATATAAAACCGTATTTGAATTTCTGAGTCACCATATAAATGTCACTATAGGTTACTAATTTTTTTAATTTAAAAGTTACTATTAGATCACTATTTCCGAAATTTTAGTCACTGAAGTCACTACTATCAGCTCTGTCCGTATGATTTGTTCTAATATTTGCGGGATTGTTTTGATGTTGGATGATGTTGGGAAGCGTTTGGAGTCCCATTCGACTAATCTACTTTGCTTACGATGGGATAGTTCTACATGCTCAGGATCACAAAATAGTATGTGAAGCTCATTAGCGCCATCATAGTTGGCAACACTGTATCAACACTGTATCGAATTTGTTGACGGTGGCATGTATATATGTATGAATCAATATTATTGCTCTCTAACCATACCTAGGGGCTTATTACGGATGTCACTTCACGGTGAAAACTTGTCACTTGTCGTCACGCTGAAGTGATTTCCATTTGATTTGCACGGTAAACACGGCTCTTATTCTGAGTATCACTTCCTCATCACCGTTTAGTGACACCCGTAATAAGGCCCCAAGTGGGTAAATTTTGAACTGAAGTTTTCAACATCAGACCAAGCGCACTCAACTGAATAACTTTGCTCGAGACGAGAACTTTTCATATGGTCAGGATCATTAGATACACACTTAAATTGTTTTCGCCAAGATTCCAACAGCCGAGTAATTCGGTAATTTATTTAGCTGAGAATCAGCCCAACAATTGCCGAGACTCAGCTAACAACTAAAAATTTGCTGAGATACAGATATTTTGCAGAGATATCAGCAAAAGTGAATGCCGAAGTAATTGGCTGTTGGAGATTTTACCGAGCTAGATTAAGTGTGTATGACACATAACATTATGCTAGCTTACTAGCTCCTCCTAGTGTGCCAATTTGGAACTATTCTTATCGGCAGGGTCTATCATATAATTTGAATTGATTTATCGCTAGGGCCATCTACTTTGTGAGTAATTTTTAAACTATTTTTACTGCCTTCTGAAAGGTCTCTTCCAACTTCGCGCGTCGCTTCGCCCAGGTTCGCAGAAACAACGAACGAATACTTTGACTATATGTTTTGTATTACTTCTGCGTGAAGTCAACGATTTACATAGTTGAAGATGCTAATTTCAATTAACAGACTAAAGTGGTAATTTTTATTCGATAGATGAGGAGATGAAAGTATAAAGTTGATAGTTCCGTTAGAGTACGGCAGTGTGAAAATTGTATATAGAGAGTAGAAAGCGAGCAAGGACAACTTTTTAGGAAGGTACAAATCGGTTTGATCATCTCTCCACAGACAAACAGACATAACACTCACAATCACATCCATCGCAAATATTTTTTAGTTGGGAATGTGCTTGCATTTGTCATGGTGGCGCCACTAAAGCATTGAGCAAGCCACCACATTTCGAACTTATCAGTGATGCCAGTTCTTTTTCACGTCTAGATAGTAGATGTCAGCTCTTAAAAATGATAAGTGGTCAAGGCATTCCACTAGAGACACATACCACATCTGACGAATACAGAAAAAAAGTTGTTGAATATTACATCAAAACTGCTGCACATTAGTCATTCCGTTCCTAATATTACGTTGTACGATGTACACAGAATTCAAGAACAAATCATGTTTTTTTTTTCCTTGATTTGTTTTCCGTCGATCGTGTTCTCCGTGCTGAGCACCAATGCTACCGACGTGCCAGGAAGGCAGCTTCAAACACCTGGACCCTACCTATCGACCCATCAACTCATGAACCGAGGACCAACGGCTTTACTTCCCTTCCGAAGGAAGGCGTGATCAGAGATGTTATGCCTCAGAACATACCGGCGGCGCCGACTGGGATTGAACCCAGGCCTGATGGGGTGGGAGGTAATCACGCTTACCACTACACCACCGGCGCCGCTTAACAAATCATGTTAATGACTATACTATTCTATCAAATTTTACCAGCTATTGATGTTCAATACTTCACCATGAATATCATTGATTGATATATTTTTTTTCTCCTCTGTACACATTGAAGTGATGAGTGGTGGTAGAAAGGGCACTAATAAGTGATGCATTACCTCGTTTAAAAACTTGTTTCCAGCTAAAGAAAAAGCACACTAAGCAAACAAAACAAATCCCTAAAAAATAGTCTTAGTTTCTGAGAATTTTTCCTACGGATCCGTATTTGTGCAGAATTCAATCAATTCTATAGATCTTCGGAAAATTTCATAGAACCGACATCACTGACTTCCATCTGTTTTGTTTTTATTCAACACAGTTGACAGAACAAGGGAAAAGCAACTAGTGAAAAAAAAATGCATGCACGAGGGATGCTCCGGTTGCAAAACATTGCTTGGGAATGTGGATGATAGATGGTGCTAGTGCGCATGCAAAATACGCTTTTTTTATATTTTTTGAAGAATTTTCTTCTACGAGTTATGTCTGTTTGTCTGTGATCTCTCTTTACCGAACTCCCCCGTTGGAGAGGTATTGTGAGGGGTATTCCTCGCTTTCTACTCGCTATATATAATTTCCACACTGTCGTACTCTAACGGAACTATCAATTCTATACCTTCATCTCCTCATCTATCGAATAAAAATTAACACTTTAGTCTGTTATTTGAAATTAGCATCTTCAACTAAATGAATGAATGTACTATACCACTGATTCCAATTAGCAATCCGTTGAAACTGTTAGGATTTCTTTCCTGAATGAAGGAATGTTCTACTCGTAAGAGTTGAAAGTTAATTGTTTATTCATCAAAACAAAACAAAAATCATAAAAATAAAACTAATAATCTTACCAACTTCATAACACCATTTCTTCGAGCAAAAAATTATACCGTACTGTTTGCACTCTTCCCTGGATGAATTCATATTTGATTCGTTTAAATAAATAAAAAAAAACACATAATCCTTCGTAGCACCTTATGAAGCAAAAGCCGATTAAAGCCGAATGAAATTTTTTAAAAATCCTGCAAATTAAACAAACTTATTTTAAACTCAAAAGATTAGTTGGTTACGGTAGCGTGACGGCTCTGGAAACTGTCCAAGATACTCCGAATGCTTAATCCCAAAACTGTACGACGGCACGTGTCCTAGGTTCACCTGGTGGGATTAACGGATGAGCGAGTGTGTGGCGTGCGTGTATGTGTGTATAATTTCATGGTGGATGACCACATGTGATGGCGGTATAAAAAAGGAAGAGAAAAGACAGATAAATTATAACATGACACGAAATGGGAATTTCCATGTATTCAATCCCAGTAAGTAGTTTTAATATCATCTGCCAATCGGGGGGTTTTGTGCGCTAGGTACTGCGAGTGGCGAATGGAAAAGGAAGTTGCTGGGACGGATCGGTAGATGTAGTAGCCCTGTTTGAGTCGGGATCGTTTGAGGAGGAATTAAGCGCAACATTCAGGAGAAAGCAACAGGTTAGTATTGATTGGACGACAGAAAACTGCAGCAGAATTGCATTTCGCGAACGTTCAATTACCTTCTCCGGATGGTGTGCCGCTGGGCCCGGTTTCATCGCTTCGTCCGTTGGCATTCGGAATCGGGTGGCCATCGAGAACATCGGAGCCTTCTTTACCAGCGGATCGATTTTGGCATCGTAATGACCGGGGCCAGGGAAAGTGATACACTGTGGAAGTTGCGATTTCGCCCGACCTGCGATTGTGTAGGCGGGTGCCGACCGGATCGGGCCTTCTTTGCTTGAACCGAGCACGTCTGGGATGTGATATTCATTCGGGGCTGGCGAGAGGAAAAAAAGGAAGTGGTAACGATGATGAAATGGTACCTATTTCCGGCACAGCATACCAACGACAGTTATGGAACCATAAATCATTGTTCCGTATGTGTTTGTTCGTAAATTCATTGAGAACTAGATAGTGGTCGTGCTATCACTATTGTTTGAAACTTACCTTCAAATAAGTTTACAGCTCGGCGATGAACTAGGACATGCATTCTACTAATACCGACAACTACAAAATTCAAAAGCTACTCAAACTCTTACATCAAAAGTGCGTCAATTGACATTGAAATAAGTCTACCAGGTCAAATAATAAGCAACTTCAGAAGCTACATCTAGGAAGCTAACAAACAATTAACAAAACTAATACAAAGTTTACAAAACATGAGTTCACTGGAAACACAAAACGCGCAAATCAAGCTCGGAAATGTCCGGTGCAAACCATTCGCTGGTGCTGCACGTTCTGCAGCGATTTGACACCAGCGATGCAGTTCGGAACCAGGTTCTCGTTGGTCACAGCAGTGGTCCCCGAAGTGGTGCTGGTGGTGCCCGTCGATGAAGTCACGTGCTCTTCGCTGACGGTTTTCCGTTCACGGGTCATCTTGACACTTCCGCTGGTCGTGGAGGTGGTGGTAGTGATGCCACCTCCATTGCTTACCACCTGCTGAGTTTGCTGGGAGCGCTGCTGTTGCTGTTGCTGTTGTTTCTGTACACTACTTTTCTGGCTAGATTGCTGCAGTGCAACGGTGCCAGCCCCATTTTCCATGACTGCAGTTGCAGAGGTTGTGGCACTGGTAGCGGTGGTGGCTGAGGTGATTGAGGTGGATGTGCCGCCGTTGATGCCATTGCTCATGATGGCTACACACAGTTTCGATTTTGCGGTGGGTGGGAATTTTTAAGATTTTTGTTTTCGTCCAACCATGTGTGTGGGTGTGTGTGTTTGATGGTGGGAGTAGCGAGCAAAATATAATATTTGATGTTGGTTCATACAAAAAAACAAAGAAAATGTAAAAGGAAAACAAGACAAATTGGTGAGAACGGTTTCGAAAGTTTGTACATACATGCTCTAAGTGGCAGTTGGGTTACGGGCAAATCAAAAGAAAAAAGTTTACCTGGGCTAACAGTGAACTTTTCACAATTTACCTTCACGCCGAACGTGAACGCTGGGGCGACGTCGATTTTGCACTTTTCCGGCTGGTAGGCGGAAGGAGCTAAAAAAATTAAGCGTATTAGTGAAAAGAGATTTACAAAATATCCGATTGCTTAACGGGAAGCTTAAGGGAAACGCACATATATTGGATATGCTCCTATTTTGGCCATGTTTTGAAAATATTTACACGTTTGAGATATCGCCCATTAAACGAACGAAGATTGTGAATTAATCGTTTTTCTAAGGTAAGGCCAAAATAGGAAACTATGGCTAAAACTAGCGCACTTACTCTACCCCTCAAATAACTTTGATCTCATTTTTTATTATTTAATATTATTGGGAAAAGGTATCGAAAATCTAAAACTATAAGTTTATTTCCTCAGATTCTTAAGAAAATTTGCGTATAACAACATTCTTTCAGTGACATCATGAAAAAAGATGTACTTACTTAACCGTAAAATCGACCTTTCGGATTTTTAGAGTCCATTTTTTGTTTATGCTGAGATAGAAAACATGATTTTACATAGGTATAATTTTTTTCAATAATCTAACTAAGAATTTTTTTTCTCATAACATTTTCGAAATTTTTTAGGAAAATTAAAATGAGACAAATTATTTTTTGGACATGTAGGACAACGCCGAAGATATTTGTATGAATCCCCGGACCATTCATATAAGAATATTGACAACCCGAGTAAAAGAGAACATCAAACCAATAGCAAGTTTTACTTTTCTAGATAAGAGCTAAAATATCAAAAATACCAACAATAATTACCAAATGAACTCCACTCTGAGTGATGATGATGATTTCACAAACTAACCCTAGTAGCACGCTTGTTACAAATCAATTGTAGAAACTTATATACGACTTATTTAAGTCATAAACAAGTTGCTGTAACTTATTGTGATGAAAGTGTGCTACTCGGGAATGATTTTGCTTGAATTTTGATGTTCGTAAAGTGAACTGTTCGGCATTTGGTGTAATCGTATCTCTTGAAAATAATAAATAATGTAGAGATCTTTGTGGATTTTTTGTTTGATAGCATACTCTCCAACGTGTGCCCCCAAGCATATATTTTAATATTTGATAAATGATGGCTTGGGCAATACATATTAACCTGAAACATGATGTGTCTTCGTGCATAAATTGAGCGCTCAACTCGTTTATTCCAATGACGATATATTTAATCATTATTAAGGGAGGATCTTTCAATATCAAGGAAGTTGACTTGCACATAAGTGCCACGTGTCTTTGTCAAAGACAGTAACATACACTCAAAAAAAATCTACACGTTGAAGCTACGTGAAAAATCACGTAAGCTCTCATTTTTTCCTTTCCTCTTAGTTTTATGGGACTCACGTAGAATGTATGTGATGTCTATTGAATTACACATAGAGTTCCTTTTTAACACACCTACATAATTAATTAAATGTACGTGATTTCCTCATAACACTGAGTCTATGTGCGTTTCACGAAAAGCTTATGTGATCTCCTTTAGAGTGGTATGTACACTCAGAGCGCTGCAAATCATTGCGGCATCATGATGTGCTTTTGTTCGGTATTCGGTAGTGGCAAGATGTAAGTATAACATTATGGATTATTTTATTTTATTTAGCAAAAACAAACTGTCTGTTTCATCTTGCTCCACAGAATGATGTCAAGCTGCCAATAAGATTCTTCCTCTAAGGAAAAAAGTATCTCGGCTCATCTCCATGATCCTCCAGATTGCTTGTGCTGATGTGGTGTATTTAGATTGTAAAGATTGCATCTATATATTAAGGAAATATTCGTATAAACAGTGTCAAAATATTGATACTAGAATCCTCCAATGAATGTCACTGACCAACTCACGTAACTTCTATATGATAATCATGTGACGCTTAAACTTCATGAAATGAGTGCCCCTACATGAGAATCACGTAGCTCTTATGTGAAAAGTACGATGGAAAAAATCTACGTATGTTTTCACGTAGCATTTACGTGAAAACTATTCTGAAAGTAGACCAGGATCACGCTTACCTCTAGGGATGCCCAACCTTACCCCGTATGCATTTATTCTTGCATTATTAACATGATAAAATATCATCAAATGATTAGAAAATTTCATGAAAATCGATGGATTTATGCTAAATACTTTAAAGATCAATATTAATTTAAATTATTTCTGAATTTTTCATTTAAAAATTGAACTTTCAGTTTAGGTGGCTATCTAACCACGTTCGCCCCGTTACCCTCATGAAAATCGCAAGAGTTACTCCGAATCCAACAACAACTTATTTTTGTTTTCAAATTCAGCATTTGAAAAGCATGTTTCTGGTAGCCTTATTTGCTGTTTTGTTTTGATTCTGCGTTCCGTATTGCAATATTCCATTTCGCTTTCCTCTATTCCATATGCTGAATGACGGTCAAGCAATTTTCAGTTTGAACGGCGTGCAGATTAGCGGAGTTTAAATTGAAAATATTCCAGCTTAAAAACGGTCACATTACCGGGGGTCCACGGTATTATGATCCTGAGTATGGAACAGTGACACATTCCTGAAATGGCGAATGGGCTAATGGTGTTTCTGCCCTTGTTCGGAAAAAAACTTTGTTAGACCTCCAGGTACGTTCAAAACTCGTCACCAAAATTTGTGGATATTAGGCTCATATGTAACATTCCTGACATGTCAACGAGTCAACCCTAGCATGGCCTCCCTGCCTGCACAGATAACCATGGGATCACAATAGGCGACTACGTACAACGATTGAAGATAGCGGCGCGGAGTGCAGACCCAACAGAACGGGGAACAACGGAACAACCCAAACACCCCTAAAATCTTGATAGAGGCCTTATTACCTTTGTTATTTATCCTTATAACTAAGGTTTTACAATTGGATTCAGGACGTCTTTTCGTCTGCGACCAATAGCCAGCCTCACAAACTATTTCACCTGTTTGAAACATTCCCAATCGGTAGGACTTTATTCGCTCTAATTCTGCAGTTTGGTTATGACATAATAGAATGGAATTGAATATGAGTAATCGGTTTAGCAAGACAATCTAGGCAGATTTCGCTGAGATGGCTTATCCGATCAACATTGTTGATATTAGAACCCTGAACATGGGACAGTTATGCGTATAGCCCAGAAATATAGGAAGGTGCATGGATAATTCCCACACTGAAAATATCGATGAACATTTCCAAAGATCATATCTTCTTTGATCGATTTTTTAGACTTTCTCTTCTGATAACTTCTTTCACTTTCACTCTCAACTTTAGTTCTTACGTGATATAAATATCTGTCATAAGTATTCTTAACTATTTTTAAGTATTTTTAATCCTGGCTAATTTTTATCGTAGTGACAACTAGTGTAGTTGTTTTTGTTGTAACTTGGACGACACGTACATAGTGGATTTTATATTAATTTTACCCTGGGAAAGTTTACCCTGTTTTAATTTAAATGATATGCGAGATGGTACGTGTAATTATGTTAATGCGTACATATTTTAATTTGATTTATGAAATAGTAGTAATAACACAGTAAATAATTTTCCAGCAAACTATTTGGAGTATCCAGAATATTCGTTGGACTGTAGAATTCATCCGATATATAGGAGACCGGATCTACGCCAAGGTTGCAAATACTCATTTCAGCTAAAAAAATGTTTTTTGGAATAATAAAACCAAAAGATGGTATGATGACATGTTTTACTTGTAACTTACAAGAAGAGGTTACACTGTATGCGTTTGAAACATAAAACCTGTAAATGTTGCTTTCTATGAGTCACAATCAGCGATTTGCTGATCGCTGAGTGAGTGAGTGAGTGTGTGAAAAATCGCTGATTGTGACTCTCATGAATTGAAATAAACAGGTTTAATATGTCAAACACATTCTTTGCAACCTCTTCTTGTATCTTACCAATTCGAAATATGATCATAGCATCTAATTATTTCATAATAAAAAAAAAAACATTGTTTTAGCTGAAATGAGTATTTGCAACCTTGACGCTGCTCTTTTGCCAGTGAGCCACGGGTGAATCTACAGCTGCAACAGAAACTGTTCGTTGGGTTGGTGGACCTAACCATCGTGCCACTTTTTGAGGAGCATCCATTGGTGGACTGCGCTGTACTGGCGAGAGACTTGAGGGAGTATCCTGCTAGTAGTTAATGATTTTCTTTTAATTCTACATATTTTGCGTGATTTTAGGTTTCGGAATCGATAATAACAAGCTGATGATTGACGATTGCAACACACTTGCTTCATTACCTTTCTGTTAGAGGCAACCAGATGACTCGTGTAACACGATAAAATGAAGGAGAAGTCCGCCAAGTTTGGCAGGAGGGAAAATACATGTTAATATTGTGAAATTATAATTTATTTCAATGTTTTTATTCAATTCTCACATGAAAAGAACATCAATTACTTGTATTTACTATGCAAATAGAAATCCAAAGCTAATTTGAATTATTTGATTTTGAAACAGTCCATGTAATATACCACAACCGTTTCGGATACCTTATAGCAGTGCTTTTCCTAGGGCTCATTGAGAGGCTTGTAGTGATTAAACTGTTCCAACATTAACAAAAAAGGGATATGCAATTTAGATCTTATCCAGCCTTGATTATCGTTTAGTACATCGATTCTCAATGTTGCCCCACCGATCAATCTTACTCTACATCGCTTCTTTTTATGTGCTTTTCGTTTAGTGGGGGTTTGCGCGAACCAGCCCAGTGACAGGCGCGTAGGCAACATGTCATACCGTGACAGCGGGCCCAGCACAGCAAAATAAATGATTTGAGCCCGGGACGCTGCTGTTGGTATAGACCGCGAACCCCAGGTTGAAAATCGATGGTTGAGGCTCTGAACCATACGGCGATTTTTTTTTTATCTTTTGGTTAAAATTTGACAGATGGAAAGTTATCGATGAACCCTGCTATCCGAGCATGGTTATTAGACTGATGCAAAATTTGACTTTTTCGCTCCACAGTGCTTAAATGGTTTCAAATTGGGTCCTGATTAGCCTCCCAAAGTTACAACTCATTTGGTTAGAAAAAGACTTCGCACAAGCCATTTGAAGTT